TTGACACTTGAAAAACTACTGTAAACACTATCGCAAAAACGGTAATTTCCAATATTTAAATTTTTATCAACCATGTTCTTATCAGTGCTACAATTATCACAATATTTAACAATTTTTTTTCAAAGTTCTATGCAAATCCAAGCAGTTTGAAGCAATTTTCGCTGCGCATACAAAAATATTTTCACTTCATGAACACAAAATTGATATTTTGTAAACTTGAATAAAAAATAACCATTTAACACCAATTTCAATATTTTTACTCCAAAGCCAGCTTTTACGAACTAACACAAATGTTATTTTGCTTTACCATAACACAAATGCTTCACCATGACTCAAATATTGTCTTGCTATAAATTAAAACGATATCCATCAACTCCGAGCACTATACATGTAAGCCATTTATGTCACTTGAAAAACTAATGTAAACACTATCGTAAAAATGTTAATACTAAAATCGGATTTCAGTAGCAAATACTACAGTTTCAATAATTTTTTTCTTGGAAATGGCAGGAGGTTGAAGTTACAAAAATTAAACCTAACTTTAGTCATATCTGTGGAATGTGTATTGCAACTGTGTTATAATTTTACATGATGGATAATATCTGGGATCAATATCATTAATAGTACCCTGGATCTCTGGTATAGTTTCAGTTGATTGGAAAATCCAGTGAAGTGCAAATGTCATTACAGCGAACCTTTTCCGAAATAAATGATAAAGAAATAAAGCATTTTTTACGAAATCTCTGACATATTTAGCACCCTCAAAAACTTAATGCAAAACATTGTTTTTTGAAAATGATGTAGTCGATTTCGAAAAATGTTATTATTTTTTGTCGTTCTATCAATTCCTAAGTTTACCTTATGTTTTAAAATGGACTGCATTTTTTTTATTATTACTGGCATATGATTCTAATTGTCGGCACGAAAAATAACTGAGAATATGAAACATAAACAAAATGCGATCGGTGGTTTTCTTACCTTGAAACCAGAGGTTTTGGATAGCGGTATAATAGCGAACACAAGAGAGCGTATGGGTTCAAAGAGAGTCACCATTCAAATCCATTATTTCGAGTCGTCACCAATAGAGGCGTTGAAAACCACCAATTTTACGCGGTAACAACAATGAATAAAAATATACAAATTAAAGATTCTTAGAATAATAATAACAGTTAGAAATAGAATATAATATATATATAAAAAAACTAAATAAAATAAGCAAAAACGAAACACCTTATTAACAAAATAACACATATTAATAATTCAGTGTCTGATAGTCCCTTCATATTATTATTTTTAGTAGAAATTGTCTCCGGGTCATTACTTGTCTGAAAAACCGTATTAGCAATTGCGCAATTCAAAAATTCTCTAACCTTTCCAGTGCAATCTCTTGCAGGATACTTTTGCTTTGCGGAATTCGTTTTCACCTCAAATACCCGTTATTACTTCCGACATCCCAAGAAGCAAACGAAAGTAATAGAGACGTTCATTTTCCTAGTATTTTCGTTCAATTTGCGCGGGATAAACACTCGTTTGATTATATAGATTTAAGGTAATCCGTCCGCGTCGTTTGATGCCACAGCCAATGCTACGCGCCCGACGAAATACGGCGATGAATTGCAAATTTTGCGTCCGCATTAAGACTCATTTTAATTTATAAGGCGATAAGTGTTTGAATAAAATTAAAAGTAATTAAATGTGAAAGAAGTTTTAATGACATCTTATGACAGATTATCCATCCAAGGGTTTTTTTCGTAACGCTGATTGTATTCAACGTTTCCTGTTACTTTCAGCGTATAAATGTATAATTTTTTCAAAGTATTAAAACCTTGTGTTTTGAAAGTATTGACTTTGCAGTGCAATTACACTTTAATTTAATTATTTCGGGCTATGAAAGTATACCTATGTCGAATGAGATCGCGGAAAAGATAAGCCAGAATTACTTTTTTTTAGAGAATGATATTAATCTCCCATGATACACGCTAAATTATAAAATACATGTCTAAAAATACCTTTATTCTTTAGCAGTTTTTGAGGTAAATACGAAAATTCATTCCAACGAATGGATAGAAATTTATAGACTTCTTTTGTAAAATATACGACATTTACTGTGAAATACCTTGATTTGTATATCTCTATCTCGAATATATAGCCACATAGTGGAGGGTTTATCTTCATAACCCAACTGCGCATATGATAAGTAACACCACCGAACGAAGGGGTAGCTTCCTATATACGTTCAATTCCGATCATACTTTTTCCTATAAATTGTCATCCGATAATAATTTATCCGTTTCCTATCTTTCCGCATCTGCTATGAGCTGCTGCTCTTATCTCTTAACACATGTTCGACTCGACTCATCCCGGAAATAACCGAGACCGGTTCGAGAGCTTCACAATCCACATAACCACTTTCCATCAAACGTAGTTGCCGTATTTCCTTTATAGTTTCAGGCTCTACAGACAAAAAAAAATAGTTAATCTTGTATCTTCACTGTAGACTATTTAATACCAGAAGACCACAATTTGTGTGAAGGAGAGGCGGTGTATTATTCTCTCATCGGACAAATAAGTTACTAACACCCCTTGCGTGTTTTGTTCAATATCTCTTCTGTCTTAAAAGCCTCATATACAGAAAACGTAAGTGGCTCTGAAGAGATGCCGTACGTCATGCTACACAGCAGGGACACATTAGCAGTGTACGACGCAACACATAACATTATACCAACAGCGATATGCTTTCATAAAATTAAAATTATATTAGACGCAAAGCTCTTTACATCCGGCAACGGAGCGCCCGCCCTAGAGCCCTAAAACAATGGGCTTGGTTGATACAAGGCGGTCTAAGAAACACTTTGAATTATTTCAGTCAGTATTTAGACTGGCATCCATAAAAAAATACGTTCTTCAATTTTATTTTGCAACGAAAAAGGTTTAAGTATATTGCCTACATAAAATATTCTTAAATTTACGATTTTATCTACAGGGTGTACGAAATAGAATATACAAATGGACCCTCTGCAGCACAAACATATTAGAAACATACACCAAGAGCGAGGTAAGTATTATTTACCAGTTGAGGACGATTTTGCGCCCGAGCGGAGCGAGTCCAAGGCTGGTAAATTATACTTAACTGCTGCGTGGTGTATAACATTTTATCCGCTCCAACAGTTCTTTATGGTTCATGAAATAAAGATTAGGTTTTATTTTTTGATATTTCTTAATCAATTCATTTTGACATTACTCGAAATCTTGCAAAGTCGCTTTGTTTGTTTGGATTTTGTCGTTTCTAAGTTGTTTATAAACAAAGCTACATAAAACTTACAATTTTGTTGGATTTGAATTATTATTTCTAAATGAGTGATTTTCAAATAGAAGGTGCAGCAAATGCTGCCTGCGAATTTTTATTGCTCGAGAAGTCGAAAGTGCACTACGGACGAACATATAGAAATTTCAAAGAATGGTGCCAGAACAAAAATACTGGTGAGCCATGTGAGATGCCTATGGCGTCCACAATCTCTCTCACTTTCAATCTCCGATCGGCTAAAACGAAATCGTGAATTTTTTTCAATTGTTTGGGATGTAGAGACCTCAACTGGGCGTCCAGAACGTTTGGCATCTTCCGTGCTTGTACGGCCACATCGAAATTCAGCAAACCACTTCTTTACCATGGAAATGGATGGTGCAGAGTCCCCATAATATTTATCAAGCTTAGCCTTGGTTTGAGTGATGATTTTTTTCCGCAAAAAATAATGCTTAATGAGCACACGAAATTCACTTTTTCCATTTTCTTGTCAAAACGCGCGGTAGTCTGCTATCAACGGCTGCCAAACACAAACTAAATGACGCAGCTTGTTCAATATTAGATAGGAGTCAACTGACAGTTGCCTGTTAACAGAAGCAGCGTTGCCATTTCAATTAAGAGGCGGGAAATTAAAAGAGTCACGGACTTATTGACCCGCCCTCGTACAACCAACCAGTCGGCAAGAATACTCTTTCTATGAATCCTAATAAGATTGCACAGTTTTTGAAACTAGAACATCCTGAAACATATACAGGCTATTCATTCCGAAGAACATCGGCAACGTTACTGGCTAATACAGGAGTTGACGTATTAGCAATCAAGAGACATGGTGGGTGGAAATCAGCCACAATTGCAGAAAGTTTATGTTGTTGACAGTTTAAGTAACAAAAATGAAATGGCCAAAAGGATTCTTTACAATGACACTTCAACTCTAGGTTCTAATAGTACGTTGCATCATGTTGTTTTAATAGATCAGTCAGATAATATTGAACCTCCGATGATTGAAATGGAGCCGTCAAATCATTTTGAGAAAAAGTAAACAATTAGTAAACGCGAGGGGAATAATTATCCAGATTTTATAAATGTTACTAAATGTAATAACTGTACTATTACTATAAATATTCATTCATAATGATTAATAAAATATAATGTTCATCAAATATTTCTATTTATTTGTTCATAAAATATGCGTTGTCCATAGCAACTTCCACTTCTACGGTAAAATCCACTTACCTCCTTAAAAACAATGTATTAGTCTGTTTACTATAGTGGAAGCAGATAAACTATTTTTTCCACATTTTGGTCTAATATTGTAAACGACAGATTTTGACGTAACTGTGGTTACGAATCATATATTAGGGTGCTTCGTTTGAAGAGTACGTTTCTTATTTTTTGAAAAACATTGGAAAAAATTGGATTACCACGTCATCGGATTAGACTTGACACCCTGTACACGTTACAATAAATGTTTCGTTCTTATTTTGATTAAAAAACTAGTAACACCTGATAAAACAGGTGCGAAAGTCACATATCAACTCCTACGCCCACCTTTCGAGGACCGCCCTGTACACCTCGCGCTCGACTGTTTTGAGTATCGCACCGGCGACTCCGGCACACCGCGCCAGGCGTTCGCGCAACCCTCGTGCCGCTGTCAGTGTCAGTCGCTCGCGAACCGTTCGTCGCCCAGCACCGTTGCCAGTTGTCGGTATCGCGCGTAAGTTCACAGAGTACCCCGTGTGCCAACTGATATCCGTCATCGAAGTCACCCATGGAGTGCGAGATGAAGTGCATCGAGATGTGCGCCGAGTCCGAAGTAAATATCACGTTGTTAGTAATGATAGTGGTTATGGTAGTCGTTTCGATGAGTGATCGACGTTTCGAATTGTTAAGTGACAGATGCGGAGATCGGGTTTATTTTTGGAAGCCAGTTATTGAAGCTAGAGAGGGAAATATTCAAAACTTACGAGTTTAAAAGGTTTTTAGTCCTTCTAAGAGCATTTGAAACAACGAAGTTCTCTCTTCAATAACTGAAAATATTTCGTAAAATGTCATAAAATAGTTCTGAACAAGAAGTGTTAAATAAAGCAAAATTGTGGTCAGAACTACAGCATTATTTTACAGGGAATACTTAAAATATTTGGCCAAACTTGAATATAGTGATATAAATTAAAAAAATCCAAAAATTCTCCGTTTATTAAAAAAACGCGTAATACGTAATTTCGGAGATCAAATTCGTAATTATCTAAAATTGGACTCATTATTATGAAAGAGCACCAAAAGCTTTACAAAAACATGTCTCTACTGCGTATTCCTGAAATAAACACCAAAATTATATAAGTATATCTTGTATCATCATCATTTGTTAATGTCTTGCGCAGGTACTTCATAAAGTAAAAATTTGAATAAAATAAACATATTTTGAAAAATATATTAGCTAAATTCTAATAAAACTAATAATTCTACTAACACAAAATCAGCAAATATTAATTTTATAGGAGTTAATAATTACTATATAAAAATACTGATACAGTTGTACTCTAATTAAAAAATATGTAAGGAGACCAAGTAGAAAATAAAAGAAACACCACTATTTCGATATGTAAATTTATATTTAGTCAAAATAAATGAAAACTAACAGGTTTTGGCCAACAAACCCTCATATTTTTTTGTAAAATTTAGATATTATTTTTAATTCTCGTCGATTAAATTGCGATTTTAGGGTTCACATAAGCAAAACTTTTAGAAATACTTATTTCCAAAATCCAATAAAAGAAAATTCCTAGTTGGTGTAAATTAAATTTCTAAGTAGTATGGATGCCATTTTGGATTTTATTCAAAAAGGAATAACTATTATTCTATTATCAAACAAATTACAAGATATTTCAATAAAGGTTTAACTTTTTTCAATTGCTCCGCAAAAAATGGAGTTACAGCATAAAGCATGATTAATTGAAAGTTATTGGGCGCCATGAAATTTACTTCAGAAAAAAATTTTTCATGTAATTAATTTTGCTTGTCTGAGTACAAAATAATACAACTTAGATCAGCCAAAAGTTAATAAAATAAACATGTTTTAAAAAATATATTAGCTAAATTCTAATAATAATAATAATTCTACTAACGCAAAATCAGCAAATATTATTTCTATGGTAAAATTATTAAAAATTTTATAGGAGTTAATAATTACTATATTAAAATACTGATACAATTGTACTGTAATTAAAAAATATATAAGGAGACCAAGTAGAATTAAAAAAAATCGACATATCTTAATTTTTTTAATGTAGACTATTTCGATATGAAAATTTACATTTAGGTAGTCAAAATAAATAAAAACTAATATCTTTTGGCCAACATATTTTTTGTAAATTTAGATATTTTTAATTTTCGTCGATTAAATTGCGCTTTTAGTGTTCACACAAGCAAAACTTTTAGAAAACTTAATTCCAAATTCGTATAAAAGAAAATTCCTAGTTGGTATAAATTTCTAAGCGGTATGGATGCCATTTTAGATTTTATTCAAAAAGGAATAACTATTATTCTATTATCAAACAAATTACAAGATATTTCAATAAAGGTTCAACTTTTTTCAATTGCTCCGCAAATAATGAAGTTAATTTTGAACATACTGTATTTAGAAAAAAGTATTTCCGTATACATTTTATTTGAACTATTTTAACCATTTGTGATGCTGGTCTGTTAAATTTTAAAGAAGAATATCGCAGATACACCTCGTATACAAAGTTGAAAGGGAAATTTTGATTCGAGTTTAGATTCACACGTTACCTTAGAACATTTCGAATAGTCTTTTGGAAAGGGAAAGAAAATGGTATGAGAAAGTACGGCATAAATCTGGGAAAAAAGGCCCATAAAATACTCGGCTGAGCATTTAAAAATAAAAGATCATAAATAAAACAGAAGGAAACGTAAATAAACAAAGGAAGGTCCCCAAGTAGGGTAGAAATGAACAAACCGTCATATCCAAATATAAAAACATTTATATGCAGAACCAGTCTTTATAAACAGTGTATTCGTGAGATACTCGAATATACACAAAAATTAAATTGTAAACTAAATAAAAAACATTGTAATACGTGTATCAAACACAGTCAAAATTCTTTTTCGTTTTATTTTCAATTTGTCTGTGTTACATATTAGGTAGATAAAAATTTATAAGGTCCTAGTAGATCTTATTAGAAATAATTCACACAATGACATTAAGATCAGGCAGGTTGAAAGTAAACGGTATTATACACATAAAAATGTGGTTTGCTTTGCATAGCAAAAACAGGGGGATAGAATCGGAGCAGATATTCTAATTACAAGCGTCTATTCTCAGAGTATAAAGAGGTTTTTATTACCGACGAGTTCTTCGAAAAACCGCATTAAAATGGGTATTATAGAAAGCTTTGAAAATGACTAATACCATAGAATTGACACAGATCGTTTGTTGGGTAATACGGTAGGTTTTTATAGGACATGAAATAAGCAATTTTAGCTTTAATCTTTTTGTTATTGCATGACTGGATAGTCGAACCTCTTTGAATTTAAACGCGTTTTTTGAAATTGAAATACCTCCGTCGAGGCAACGTACACAAAATGCCAGGAATTTTAATTTCGTTACTGAAGATAATTTTAAACGTGTGCGTCATTGAAAATCATAAAAACAAATAGTTTTTTTGTAACTAGATTAAATACTGGCTAGACCAAGAACTGGGACAGATGTGCAAACAAAAACTTATGATTCTGACTTATTTTTTATATCTGAGATTAACCCCCCTCGTCTTGCGACCGCAACCCCGCCGCTGGTGTCAGGAAGGGCCTTTGATTAAATTTCGTCGAGTCCATAGGTGTGTCGCGCTTGACTAACCATTCCGTTCCATAGCCTCAACCTTTTAAACGCCGGGTAATTGATGACCATTGACCCTTATAATCTCCCATTGTTAATGGTATACTCAACGTCTGCACCTTGCTTTATTTTTAAACGCCGCATTATGAGACCAGTACATTTAAAAAGTCGAATATTTAGAAAATTTAATAAAACGTCAAATGATATGTCAAAATAATTTGTATCATAAGATACAGATTGTTTACAGAGAGCATATGCCTCTATTTAAATACAAACGCGGTTTAACCGCACCATGTGTCCCCGTTTCCATAGACAGGTGTTCCGCAAGGCTCCATACCGAACGGAACGGGGGCAGCAAAAAGGGCAATACGTCTAGGTCCACGGTCCTTCTACCTGAACCGAAGCGAGTAAATAGAATGGTGATTAGTTGTAGGACAGGTGTTGAAGACATATGCCCGTAAAATTATGCGTCAATTTTTTAAAAGGGGGACGCCGACATAACAGACACTGTATGAGTATCAATAACGCTTCCGTAGTACCGAGAAAGCGTTATACTAGCAAAACCCTAATTATTTTGTAATTAATTGGTGTAGAAAATTATATCTGCAATTCTTTGGTGCAGAGGCAAGCCATTAAAAATTACGTGATATTGGGTTTGTGTTGTCTGTCGCTGTTTATAATTACGAATTAGTTACTAATTATACATATAATCGCATTCGAAGGTAGAAAGTGAGAGATTGTGTTTTTATATTGCTGTTAAATTAAGAAAAAAAAAGTATTAATGTAACACGGAATGCGGAGCAGTTAAAAATGTAAAACTAATGTAGCCAAATTTTATAACATTTACTACTATCAGTGGAAAGCTAGATTTTATGCTATCATCTTCGAAAAGGCTCGAAAATGGCAGTCTATCATTAAAATATACACGGTATGTTAAAAAAAAACCTAACATAAATTCTAGTTATTTATTTGTGGCGCTTTTTTAATTGTTTTTGTTTAGTTGTCTGCATAAATTAAACATACATCTACTGGAATAAAAAAAATAGAAGAGCCCCAAAACTCTAATATCAAAAAGTTGTGACGTAAAATATAATTCGCATTCTAACAAACGATGAGAATAATTGTTTAAGTTTTTTTGAAACAACTTATGAACTCTTTTTTTATGGAAAGTATGGATGAGATACGAAGTAGGCTCTTATTTTTGGCTCTACATTCACTGGTACCATCTTTGCTACTTCATTAAAACACCCTGTATACAAAAGTTTCTATAGAGACTCAGTCTAATTTTAGGGGCATGAATAATTTATCAACGAATTAGATTAAAAGTAAATAATAATAAAATAAATATCTACCAACTCTCTAACAATATTACAGATGATTACATTTGTTATTGTTCAATTGCGGGTAATAAATACATTACGCGCTGAACGAAAACATTAATTATCTGAAATTAATTTTCATAATAAGCTACAACGGGGACGGCAATTCGTGAGACTAACCCAAAATACCTTTTTAACATGCACGGTGTCATGTTTCCTTGTCGATAAACTAGCGGATAGTTTTATAATGTACAATTATTTTTGTTTATTTGCCTAGGAAGGTAAGACGGGCCGTTTCTTATTATTCGGCAGTGGCAGGAAGCCGCAGGAATTTGTAGAAATATGAAGTGCAGGGCAAATTTAATCATGTCACTTTAAGATATATTGGAGTTCAAAATGTATGCCATCGGTAATGCGCCGTGACAAGAATACATAAAATAAGGGATAAGGAAGAAATATGACTTCATTCACCTTGGTCAAAGTGGAGTCGGGGTGGCTCGGAACAGGGCAATATATAAGCGCATCTCCCTCGGTATTAGAATGTTTTTCTGTGCAAAGTTACCTTCTTATTCTTTCGTGAATGAATTCAGAATGGTGCGAGCGATTAAAACCCTTTTAAGCGTAAGTTTTCAGAAAAATCTCCTG